TTGCGGACGCAAGCGTTTAAAATCGTAAGGCGCCTATCTGAAGTCACCCGGATTTTTTATTTCACTTTATTTACGCAGAACGCAGAAACTCCTCGCAGCACGTGGGTGCGACTTTTCGCGGGGCGCCCGGCACTGCTCGGAGGGCGCGGCAGCGCCAGGGATGCCCGGGGCAAAGCCACCGGCTGTCACCGCATCGCGGTGGTGTAGGGCAAACCGAGCCTTCGCTATAAAAACCCGGTGTAAAATAGCTTTAAAAAAAAGCTCCCGAGTTATAACCCACGTCGTGGAGAGGTGCTGTGTATCAAGTGGGTGCAGCAGAAGTAGATACGTCTTCTCGGTCGGTATTTCATGCCCGTAGTTTAGTCATGCCCCAGTTTTGAGATGCTGTTAAGTCAAAGGTGTAATTGAAGTGAGATCTTGGGCAAACGTCGACTCTGTTGAGCCGTAAGATGTGTTTTAAGTGTTGTGAAATAGCAGAAAAGCTCCGCAATTGATTTGGTGGAGAAAGGCATCTTAAGGCTTGTTTCTCAGTGTACTATTTTTGTTTTTTTTTTTTTCCTTCTTAAAGTATTAAGCGGTGCAAACTCTGTTTGAACATTAAAGACTAGAGCTGTTTATTTAACTTATAAATGTTACTTAGGGTAAAGATTCTAGGAGCCTGCTTTTCCCTGTGTTCTGTTCAGTGGGTAGACTAGTTAAAACCTCTGGCAGAACTCATTTTCATTTTGTTAATTATAATCGAAAATGCAAAAATAGTACATATCTGAAGTAAATGGATATGTGAAAGCACAGAAGGTCAGTAAGTTGTACTTTTATTAAATACTGATGTACAATTGGCATGCTCAGATTTCTTAGTGTCAAAGACTTTCGTTAAGCTGCTCTAGTTTTTTTAAACAAAACACACCTGGAGTGGAAAATGACATAGGTAGTTGGTTTAATGGGGATATACGTGGAAATAAAACTGAAGAACTACCTAAAACTGATCTTACGTGGGCAAGAGAGAGAAACTGTCAAGAAAAAAAAAAAAAGAGCAAAACCAAGCTTGTCCAGGCTTCTGATTTTGAATTACACATGTTCTTTGAATACTAGTTTTATTCCTTTGGTGGAGCTGGTGCATGCTGAAATCTCAAACGCAGCTTTGGAGGTGTATACCAGAAACAAAAAAGTAATAGTTCTCTTGAATGTACTGGCGAAGGATATTTTGAGCTCTTTCTAGTTTGAGTAGAGTGGACTGGAGAATGCGGTTTTGTCTCTTGAAGGCAAACATTCGAAGAAGAGATTTTCTTGGCTTTCTATTCCGAAGTTTTGTCATACGCTGGAAAATGTCAGGAGAGGCGCGTTTCTAGTCTGCAGAAGTATAATGAAGACTGAGTAGATAGACAGGGACACACTCTGTATTGTTGTAAAGAAGCAAAATACAACCATTTTTACCTTGAGCTGAGTGGTGGAAGAATGTAAGCATGGCTTGGTACTGATGGGAAGTTTTGATTTAATTGCCACACAATTTACTTGATAAGCTTAAGACTTTCCTTTGCATTAGCCTACCCATTTTATTTTTAACAAATCAGCAATATTGCTACACTAACCGACTTGGCTAAGTCCAGTCCTTTATTCGATCTTGGTTAGTTAAGCTATACTTACATGGGATAAGTTGCTCTGATTGAACCTCATAACTATGGTTGTAATGCACTACTGGATGCCTGTGCATGCTCAGTGCAATTTTGTTTGGCGGTGTCTGATACTTTTGTTTTACCCTGGTGTTTTTGATATGATGTTTGTGTCCGTTGAAGTGCTATAAGATTTTAACTGGGCAAAAGTCAGTAAACTCCCAGAACTCTTCTGAGTTGAGTTCCTTGGGATTGATTTCATGTCAAAATAACTGACCATGGACTTCCTTAAGCTAATCAGTTGTAGTAGCTTTCTAAGCAAGCTGCCTGTGTTTCTTTCTGGGGACCTATATGAGAGAGGAGCCGTGGGCTTCCCTTTGTAAATAACCTCAACTTAGCCTAGCATCATTTATACACTTTACAGGGTTTTTCTATTCCAGTTTGTGGTTTGTTTTTGTTTTGGGTTTTGGATTTTTTTTAAATTTTGCTGTTGCCTGATTTGTATTATCTCAGAGCTGTAGCAGCGTAACGTAATTTTTTTTTAATCCTTGCTGCTGAGGAACCTTGAGCTGGATCAGTTAATAGTGTCTGCTTTAATTTCAGTTAAGTATTTTAAAGCCGTTTAATTGCCATGTTATATTGTAGGACTCTGTTTGCATGTGTAGTCTGCTTGTTAGCTGCACAGGAATTTTGGATATCGTGAGTCAGTTTGCTCCATGGTACTGTTCTTCTCTAGGATCTGAATCCTCCATGGTTCCTTCTGAACGTTATCTTGCATGAAGATTACAAATATTTTTGTTTGTAGATACTCTGTGTGATAAGTAAAAGTAATGGTAATTTCATTTCTTGCACTGTGTATTTTAGCAGCCCACTAAGCCAATCTAGGTTTCTGTGTTTTGAAATACTTTGATTTGGAATAACTTAATTAACGTAAAATAAGTAAATTTTCCCTGTAGACAGCAAGGAATACTTTCTTGCCAAGAGTATAATATAGAAATCATTTGTTAAGAGCATAAAAGAGATGGGCAAGCATGGCTTGTTTTAAGTGTACCAGTATCTGACTAGCATAGTACATTTGTTTATGGTAAATTTCATCTTGTGAACCATGAATGTCTGTGCTCCAGCCACCAACCATTCTGCCTTGGGCTGCAAAGGTGTACAGTGTATTTAATCTTACTTGGAGCTTTGCCTCACCTGGGTGGCCCTGCTGCTTACAGAGAGGAAGAACACGCATGGTTGCCTTCTCCCTTTCTGATTCCCTGTGCTGTACTCGAGAAGTCAGAGCATGCCTGTCATTGGAATTTGACTGAGACCAGTTACAGGGTTTGGGGATACCAGTTTGGTGTTCTTTAACTAAAGGTATTTTTATGGTATCTACCAGGCAATGATGCAGTTCCAGGAAAAAATCTTCTCCAAATGCAGGAATTGCATGTGATAATGGCATAGTAAGCTGTATCTTGGCACCAGTGTGTTACAGAGCTTTCTTGTACTGTTGTCAAATCTGAGAAAGCCATTCATGGTGTTGATGAGTGAAGATTTGCAAATGGCTATATTCCTGTCTGTGGTTGTTAAGTCACACCTGCAATTTAGGAATTAGGAATCCTAGATACCGCCATGATAGGACCGTTTGATAAGTGATTGCAAAACACTGCATTTGAAGAACAGTTCCAAGATCTTAAGCTAGTCTAACAAGCATCTTGTTCCCACTATCTCCTTGTTCCCACCGTCTCCTTTTCTTTCCCTTTGTGCTTTACAGTTCCTGCGTCATCTCTAAAGAAGCTTGCTGAAGAAATGTAGTAGGCTGCTGGGCCTTAAAGTTAGGAGCTGGTTATAAATTTCAGATGAGTTCCTTGGTCTGACTCCAGCCTTCTCTATGGGTTGTTTGCAGAAGTCTTGTGTAGAGGATATGCGCTCTACATGAACTTCAGTTATGTCATAGGGAAGGGAAATGTTTTTCTGTTGTGTTGTGTTGGGGTTTTTTTTATGAAAAGGAGGGGAGTTTGGTCCATAGTGGACTGAATGTACCCTTTCATGTTTGTATGCTATGACAAATTCTGCATGGTTACCCTTGCAGTTAGCATACCTTCTGAAGACTAATCTTAACACTGCCTTGTTGTCCCAGTTTTGTAGGCAGTATGCTTGTATCCATCACTGTATCTAAGGGACAGGAAATTCTTCTGCTTTGTGACAAGACTTCAAACGCCATTAGCCTGACATTTTACACTTACAGTAATATACAGGAAATGCCAGCTATTGGTTGTATTTTCTTTCTTTTTTTTTTTTTTTTTTTCCCCAGCAGGGTTCACATGCTTATATTTATTTAGAAAATAGTTTGTAGATCCCAGCAGATGAAATGAATTACACAGCTGCTCTGCGTTGACTCTGAAGTTCATCTTAGTAAATTAAATCTGATATAATCATAATTGGCAGAATTCTCTGGAGTGAACTTGATTACAGGGCTGTCAAAATCTTTCTCCCGTGGCCAATCTTTCTTCCTTGGTTTGTCACCGTTTGCCATGACTACTGCATTGGAATATTGTCAAAGCAGGCGTTGTCTGTTTTGGCCAGTCAACTGTCTGCTCCCTGTCAGGGAAGCTATCAAAGACATCCACCAGAAAAACCTCCATTTGTGTTGGCACTATATGTCAGCAGTCCCTAAAGTAACCTTTGCAGACTGAAATTCTCAAATGTGCTTCTTGGCAAAAGTTTTGAGTCACAGGATCCAAGGTGCTTGGCTTCCACAATGCTGTTGAATACCACCTGTGGAGGTGAAAAAAAATTAATCTACATTTTATCAAGTTCATGTGACAGGGCAATTTTTCTGCTAGCAAAGGAAAGGGTTAAATATGACTATAATGTGGGAACATCTATAAATGAGGAAAACACAGTTCTGATTTTTGAATTGCATATAATTCCTATTCTTTAAGTGTTTCAGATAGGGTTTGGTTTTTTAGTTTGGTTTTTTTTTCCTTCCCTTTCTCCTTAGAGCAGGCTTCCAGGTTTTTAAAACTTGCCCACCATAAAAGCCACACACCTGAAAAAGCCCTTGAGTATTCTTTCTGCTGTGTCATTACTTGATATCATGACTTACAAATCACACAGCCAGGTACAGACTGTAAACATACCTTACCAAACCCACAGTTTTTGATTTATTTTCACAACTTGGTAGAGATCAAGGGTGTGGAGACCACATGTGGCCTACTTAAAAACAGGATGGGGAGGGGCTGGGAAAGACTGAGATGTTGATGGTGTTTTCTTTTCCACCTCTGTTTTTCCCTTCCGCACCCACCCTCAGTTTTGGGAGAACCTGCTGTGAGGTACCTTTCTTGAAAAGGCTTATGAGCTTGTTTAGATTTATATGTATGAACTGCAGCCCCAGGCACCAAGCTGATGCTAGCCTTGAGCCTAATGATATATGTTACATAAAATTAGTTATTTTTTGGTATTTATATGTATTATTTGAACACAATATTTCTTTTTCTACCACCTCTGAAAGGAATGATTGTTATGGAATTGTACAGCAAAATTTTAACTCTTCTCTCTATAGTAAAGCAAGAAGGCAAAGAAGTTGCGTGTGTTGACGAGCTCTCT